TCATTCTATTTATTTTTGTTCTTATTTTCAGTTCATTGTCCTTGGCGAGTAAGAAGTCTTCCATGAATGTTCTCGTATGGAAAAAACTCAACTGTATTCAAGGAAACAAAAGTTAGAATCCAAGCTGAGGCATCTTTTTACATTTAATATTTACATTTAATCATCAGTGAGCTATGCTACTCGATTTTTAAGGCCATGTCCACACACATACCTGGGGTTTTATTTTTGGAAACAGGCTTTTTTTTCCTCACACCCTGTACAAAAAAAACGTGTCCGTTTAAAAAGAAATGCATCCACACGGACCCCTGAAACGCTGTAATTACTCCACTAAACCAAAACATGGCAGTCAATCATGCCGTTTGTAATAAGATTATTTAGCACTGTGTCTACACAATCCCAAGCGCCTCTATTGACAACAAAGACACTCCACCCCCTGAAAACAAGAAACTCGGTTTTCCCTGTCCACACGGACACCGGGTGTGGACCATTTCAAATACGATTCACCTTGGCCATCATTTTCAAAAATGCTCGGCTTCATAAAACGGTGCTGCTGTTACGTGTGGATGGACGGCGTAGCTTCGCAGAAAAGTCCTGTTTTCAAAATAACCGGGTACATGTGTACAGGGCCTAAGACAACTTAGCCCCCTGAAGGTACCCTAACAACCACACTCAACACTCTAGGTCATGTGTAGGGACAAACATTTAAAAAATCTCAGTAAAAATAATAAATGACTTAATTTATGACACTTTTGTCTGTTAATTGTCAATTTCGAGCCTCAGGAATCATCAGGAATCTGAGTATTACAGGCATTCGTAATCTTTTGAGATAAAACCACAATCAATAAGTGAATATAAGCACATTCTTGTGGGACACTTGAGAAGACCAGCAGACAAAGGAATGATACAATGGAAATGATGTGCTCTAAACCATCTCATATGTGAAGTAACTGGCAGGAATCCAAAATGAACAATAGAAAATAATGATTACAGTGCAGCGAAGCTTCTCCATTACTGTGGTTTACGTGGCTGGTTTAACACTTGCAGTGTGTCAGGGCTTCGCAAGAGGGTACTTAATTTGTCCCAGTTGGTTTGAGGAGGAACACAGCTGTTTCGGTTTGTGTGGTTTGGTTGTACTCGGGCCCCAGGTGTTGGCTGTGGGCTTGTTTTGTGTGAATGTGTACATGTGTGTATCCTGATCTGTTTAAACATTAATAGCTTATTTTAAGGGCTAGCACAAGTGCATATTTTTTTTTCAGATCCTGTGTTTTTTTTCTTGTTTTTGTGTGATACTCTATGTTTCTAATAGCATTTCACACTTATCAGCTGTGTGTCGTTGTTCTTGTTAGGTTGAGTTATAATGAATATAATTTTTCATTAATCCGTAAAAAATTATTATAGAAATAAATTGGTTTGTCCTCATTAAATAGGTTAAGTTGATGCCGTTTCATTGGGGGTTGCTAGACTTGCTAGAAATGACACCTGGGGTTTTGCCAATTATTGGAATAAAATTGAAGCTTTCTGTCAGAGCTAAAATGTGTGTGTGTGCATGCGTGCGTGTGCGTGCGTATGTGTGTGTGACAATACAGCTCGTCCACAGTGTGTGTTCCTACTAAATGACATCTAGTGACATATTCCTTCTTTAGATATTAATATTGCTGATAAATGAGTTTAGACTAGCCTGCATTTTTATTTGTGATGAATCAGTTAGAGGTTTATTACCACTAATTTGTGGCTAGTTGTAATTCCAAATACAGATGTCTACAAATGTTATTTGACAGATAATACCAGTTATAGATGTCTTTTAATGTGACAAATAAAAGTATCTCTAAAGGGTTTTGAGATATCTTTACAGATAATCTGCGCTAGTCACAGGAAGCTGAACCTGTGTAGATAGTTTGAGCAGGATACAATTGTCTTATGTCTTATATTTTTGTTATCTGAATAAATATTTGAAAATTAGGGGTACATTTTGCTCACCCTACGATACATACCCTGATATCATGTCTATGATACGATGTGAGTCACGGACACTATGTTTAACTGTTCAACTATTCAAACTGTTTGTATAACAAACCATAAAAATTTTTTTGAGACCACAAAGCTAAGAAGGCTAGAATCTAGTTTGATTTGAGAGCTTTTGATACCAACCATCCATTAGGGGGCAGTAATGTTTGCATTAGGTCATCGCCTTTTTTACTCTAAACGATGGAGAGAGCTAATTTTATAAGCTTTCTCATTTAAAATGTGAGTAAAGAATAATTGGGATAATTGTAAATATTTCATAAAACAAGAAAAAAGGTAAAGAAGGACTAGGATCACAATCACACCACGAAACAAATACACTTTGGCTCCTAGACGTTATCTCCCAGTGGCTCCACGATACGTATCGTGACAATTTTTTATTCCGATATATTGTGCCACGATAAATTCTTGTACCCCTATTGAAAATTGAAAACTAATACATACAGAACTTTTAAAATAAACAAATAACCCAAAGTAAAAAAAAACTAAAACTAATCAAAAAATTCTACTAAATCTTAGAAAAACACACTCTCTAAAAATAAAAATAACAGTTTCAATTTATATAGTGCTTTTTATACATTTCCACACTGGTGGTGAAGTAAAGTGACAAAATGGACCCGGTGGGGATCGAACCGCCAACTTTCAGGTTATAGGACGACCAACTCCATCTCTATGCCACTTTTCTGCCCCTACAAAAATAATTAAACTAGATAATGAAAAAAATGGAAAATCCAAAACTAGTAAAAAGTTGGCTCAGAGAACACAAAATCTGTGGGGGATTGTGGAGGGAGAGCAGCTGCGCTCAAGCACAGAAAAGAACAAATCTATCCCAGTGGGAAAGCACCCATTTAATGCCAAATGTCTTCTAGCAGAAATGGTCCGTGCTTACACTAACGTTTGAGGATTTGGATTGACTTTTACTTCTGTTCAGGAAGCCAGACAGGCCACTGCTCCACAGACCGTTTGAGTGGGGGAAGTCAAGTAGTCTGTTGACAGAAAGGTCCCTCGATGTCGTGCTAGTTTATATATTTGACATGGACAGCGTGGTGTCTTTCCACCGCCTTCGATTCCATTGTTTGTGTACTCAGCAGCATTACACCTGACAGTAATTTCAGAAATAACCCTCACTGCACCCACTGTTTCTCTCAAGCAGCTTCGGTATCAGTCTCGCTACTGAGCTGCTAGGCGCTATTCTCTCTCACTTTCCGTTCTTCTCACTTTCATTTTTACACCTCTTCCCTGTTCTCTCTACGTATCTCTCAATCTGTCAGAGGTGCAGTCATGCAGTGTTCGATACAGAGCAGATGAAAGGCTGATGGACTTTTATTCATCCAGCGTTACTCATTTATCTGTGCTACGGACAGGCGCTGCATTAGCTATAATGTTCTGTGGCTGCAGTAAATCCATCACTGTCATTGTCTCTTGTAGGACGGCAAGACGGCGGAGGATCTGGCTTCAGCAGAGCAGCAGGAACATGTAGCAGTGCTGCTGGCCAAGCTCAAAAAGGTGCTAGGCTTTGCTTAATATTCATCTCACCAAGACTCCAGAGACATTTGTTTGGATCACACCAATCCTTGTGAAATTCCTTTTAAGGGTTTTTTTTTTGTGTGTGTGTGTTTTGTGTCAGTCTTTTATGCGATTCATTTAATAAAAGACTGAGACAAAGACACAGGGGTGGAGAGAACACAAACACGAGTCCCTGAAATGTGTATTATGTAGGGGTGGGGGGGTCCACATGAAAGTGCAAGAGACTGAAGAATTTGGCAATCCTCTGGACTGTTTCCTCTGGGTTTGACAATCACCTTTTTCAAGATGCTATTTGTGTAGCATCCTAATCCTGGTTAGTGGATCGGTAATCCCAAATTCAGCTTGATTCAGCTAAAACCAGGGATTGGAGAATCATGTTAAACACTTCTCTCCAATTGGATGTCAAGGCCTCAACACACCATTTCTGAATTGAGATTCGTACTAATCTTCGGATGGCTTCTCAGCAGGGAACTCTTTGTCTGGGTCTAGGAAATATTGATGGCGCTCTCTGGCTGAAGATGGGCTTTGCGATACAACAGATGCACTCCGAACACAACGAAAAAGTGTCGAGTGGCTTTTATTGTTGGTGGCTGATCACAGGGAGCTTTTTGACAAAAATGTGGAGAATGAGAGGATTTGTGATGCGATATTTCTTCTCTGATTCCTGTGCGATGTCGCTTGGAAAATGTGGGATGAGCGCCACCGAGCGGCTTTTTTTATGTCCTACTCACGTCATCAAAAGCATCTGCTGTCATTGGTCGTTCTCCTTGTGAAAAATGGATCCGATATGGCAGTTGGCTTAGGGTGCTGTGTGTAAGTGTGATTATACTTCAGAGCCCAGTCTTCGCACATCGTTCGCCAATGATGTGAAAGCCATAAACCCCTCCATCGAAGCTTGACGTGCACTTTCCAAAAATTTTTACTTTTCAGGAGACTGTAGGCTCTGTGATTGGTCAGTCTGGTCATCATATCTGGTCGTCTTCTCCACGAACACACGAATGAAGAAGAGGAAAAAGAAAAAATGCAACAAACGTCTTCTCACCTTCCCCAATTGCAGTTTGTGATTTATGTGAAAATAATTGTTTTTCCACGTCAATGTTCTGAAGTTTCAACACAGTACGCTCAGTTTCACCCACCATTGTTTTTTTAAACAAATGTGAAGAGGTGGGAGAGAAGAAGGTGGGAGAGAAGAAGACACAGAGCCTAACATAGAAGTGAAAGTGAAATTAGGACCAAGTATGGAATTTGGACCAAGTGAAAGGACCAAGTATGGAATTTGTGCTCTGCATTTTACCCATCCAAGTGCACACACAGCAGTGAACAAACACTCTGTGAACACACATCCGGAGCAGTGGGAAGCCATAGCTGCGGCGCCCAGGGAGCTGTGGCAAAACTGCTGTAATGGTTATCACAGGTGGGAGAGAGTTTTAACACTCACCCCACCTTCAACTCCCAGTGGAGCTGGGGATCTAACCAGCGTTCTTTTAATCTCCAGTCAATCACCTTATCCACTAGGCCACGACTGCCCACTACCCTGCCAACTAGAGCAATCACAGACTGGTTACGCATGCAGAATGCCTCACAGAGAGTATAAACCTGTGGGAAGGTATGAATAGTGGCTCTTCAATGTTGGACCCCCTTGACATCTCTGCAGGCAATTTTATCGTCTGACGTACTGGAAAACAACAGTCCTGGGTTTTCCAGCCACATTGATTGCCAAACTACAGTTCTCCCAAGGCAAAATTATTGAAACAATAATTGAAAATCATCATTCATTTTGTTGACCTGCATCTTTCTGTTAGGGTTCTGATGGTGCACTTTGGGCAAAGCCAGTCTATCGTAGGGCAACACACACATTCCCTTCTATGGGGGATTTACAGCATTCATTATTTATTATTTATTAGGCTTTTATTGCATAAAATTTACCCCTTTAATTCTGGAAGAACTGGTGTACATTCAGTCACTTTAACCTCATCTAGAAGTAGGAACTCCTTCCATAGATTATCATTTGTTGGCAGTAAACTCCTAATTAGGATGCGCTGCACTTCACTTTCTTGCTCCCATCGTCATCAGTGTGTCACTGCTGCATGTCGGGGTCATTGTAATGCCCTCTGTGGCTGTTCTTGCAGGACAACCATAAGAGCATTTACATCCAGCAGCTGCGGCCTACACAGAACCTCCAACCTCGCATCAAACTCAAGCTGTTTGGACACACGGGAGCAGGGAAGAGCAGTCTGGTGGAGTCCTTAAAGTGTGGAATCTTACGCAGTTTCTTCAGGAGGAGGAGAACCAGATTGACCAATCCCGTTCGACACCCAGCCTCACCAGTCACTTCCAAACCTGCCGGTATTTCCTATTATCTTGGTCTCATTTATCTTGGAGAATGAAGCTTTTTCAGGTTTTCTTACTCATGTCATACTATTTTTGGAGTGCTATCTTTACTTTTTCACACACGTATTTGAGACTGCCAAACTGAGAATGTTGGTGCAAGGTCTCTGTGAGAAAAGTTTTTAGAAAGAAGCAAAGTTCGGAGGAAGGCGTTGATTGATCAAGACGTGTGCAGCCTAGTGTGAATAACACATTCGTTATGTTGGAAAATGGCTTGTCGTCATCCGACTTTCCAAACAAAAATGGCTCTCACCACATATTTTGTCTGGATGTTTGGGGAATGGAGGATTTTTTAAATGAAGTATTCCAGTGATGGTAATCACTTATCGTTTGTGTGAAATTTTCTTTATTATCAGATGTTTGGATGAAGAAACACTAAAGCACATATGGCTTTCTTTACTAATGAGTGCCCCCATGTGGTTGGTTTCCTTCAGTCATACTCTGATACATTTATGCATTTAGCAGATGTCATTTTTGTTATGTGGCTAACAGATTGGGAGAAAAACACAAGAATCAGTTTGTTTAAAGATCAGTTAATCGTGAGAAGTGCTTATAGAGGTTCTAGCTAATTCTGATGGAAATAAGTGCTCTATTGTTTTTTGTTTTTTTTTTCTTAAGTTTATACGCACTCCAGAAAAAGGAGATTTTTTTTAAAGTTGCAAAGAGTCTCTTTTTGGATCTGGCCTGTTTTTTTGTTGTTGTTTTTTTGTACACATAAAATGCCAGTTAAGTACCTCCTGTCAGTAGACACAATATTGCAATTTATAAAGATTACACCTTATTATATAAGATTAGTTTTAGATAAGATTAGTCTAAATAAAAAATCTATTTAACTGACTGTGCCTGCAGTGGTGAGACTATTCTCTAAATTGTTTTAAAAGTTGATTCCTCTTGTAATTGTAAACCATTTTAAACTGTGAGTTCGGGTTTGGGTTCTGCTTGTGATGGTGGATCTCTAGTTCACACTGGGCGAAAAGCTAAATGAACAGGTCACCAGTACATTGTTCACGCTAGCCATGGTTTCCTCACAAAGATGCAAATTCAATTTATGTGCAAAACTGCAATATTGCAAAAACAAATTGCAAATAAAGCACCGTTTCCCTCCAATTAATACATTGGTGCCAAATATCAAAAGAAAAGTGAAAGTTGCTAGGCTAGGAGGTCTTTTTTTAGTATTTAAAAACTTACTTGAGCATGATGAAACCCAATATCATATCATCTTGCTTTTGGATTCAGGAGATTTTTATTTGTGTGCATCTTGGTGTTTTCATCCAGGGTTTTTTATGCAGTAATCCAAAATGCACATAAAAAGGTGGATAGAAACGCAGCTGATCACTCATGAAGTTTTTATTGGACTGTGCGCCATTCAGTGCAGAATTCACAACATTTCTCTGCAGATTATCTTTAATCATAAAAGCCTAAAAACCATCCTTTTCTTCCCCTTTGTGTGACTGTAGTGTCCGTCAGCATCTCAAACCTGTACCCGGGCTGTGAGAACGTGAGTGTGCGCAGTCGCAGTATGATGTTCGAGCCCAGTTTGACCAAAGGAGTTCTGGAGGTTTTCAGTCCTGTTCATAATGCTCTCTCTGCGGCTGATGACACGGCTACTAAAGCCATCGACATCCAAAACGCCTGCGTCAATGGTGAATCAGACATTCTCTGATTGATTTGTGTTTTAAGCTCTAAAGATTCTCATCATTTTAATCGTGTCACTAATAAATACATGTGAATGAGTTCTGATTATTACATGTTCAGGTGTTGGGGACTTCAGTATTTGGGAGTTCTCCGGGAATCCAGTCTACTACTGCTCGTACGATTACTTTGCTGCCAATGACAACACGGCCATTCACCTGGTCTTGTTCAGCCTGGAGGAGCCTTACGAAACCCAGCTCAATCAGGTCACGTTCTGGCTGAATTGCCTGAAGGCTCTCACGCTGCCAGAGGACGCTATTGGTATGTGTGTGTCTCTGCTTGTGGTTGTCTCCCGAGAGAACAGTATATAATATATGGATTATTTCACTGCAGTGTAGAGTGCTTTATTTTACTGTAATTACAGGGATCAACTGAAGCTCTGTAGTCTTAGCTTTAGAGGGCTTTTGGGAGCAATCAGCAAGGCATTTTAGTTGATTATTTTATGACTATTCCATTGGAACTTATTTATAAACACAATTTTGTTTTAGATTCTCAAAGAGGAATATGTGCAAGACAATAATGCAATAGAATTGTTTCTATAGTTTCAAGCAGGTTGTGTTTTTTTTTTTAAGAGTGTCTTGGTCTCTGACTAAAACAGTGAGTTACTGTAAAGTAAAGTTTGTGAGCAAATATATGAATAAGCAAACATTTATTCACGGTATATAATTCAAAAAAAGATATTAATACAGACTGTCTTTAGACCAAATTGCATATTAAAATGTAAAAAAAAAAAGAAGTGATGGGATGTGAAATATATGGAAAGAAGTTCCAGTGGACTAAATTTGATGCGCATTACCAAAGAAGTCCTTGATGGTGGGGTTGAAGTGGACACTCTTAACAAAACATGCAAATCAAATAAAACGTGAGAGAAAGTCATCCAGACTCCAAAGTCTCACCAGCACAGATCCTATCTACATAACCATTCACAAAAGACCACAGAATTATCATGAAGCTAAAGATATTTATGTAACCTGGGCTTGGCTTTCACACGTTAGACAAGTACTGGGTGACTAGCAATTGTCATCCTTTCAAAAAAAGACGAGGGCAATTCTAGGACTATTTAAAGACCAATGGGTCAACATTTCCATTCAGGGATTTCTCTTTAGGGTTTAATTACAATTTTAAAAATAGTTGATGGTTGACATAATTTCAGGAAAACCTACAGCAACATTTATATCTCTTGCAGTGTATTGTTTATTTCCCACAATGCATGTATTGTATTGGACACATATGAAAAAAACATAACATTTTACACTTGTGTTTTTCAGTCTGGTCAAGACAGTCATGCCGTTCTCACATTCTCACAATACTTCTGTGCTGAATTTGGGTTTATTTATGCATGGATACCAACAGGTTCCAGCTCTCTGTCATACCGTTGATCTTATTATTTCTTAAAATATTTTTGGGGAAATCCTGGGGAAAGATCATTGTTGCCATTGTTATAGTCTGCCATCTGAAACATTCCCCATTCCTCACCCTTGATTTTTTTTAATGAATAATGCTATGAACACAGAGGTACTGGTTCTCCTGTAGGTCAGAATTGTTATATTATAGATTCTTACAAAGAAATATACATTACTGTCCTGTTGAATAATGCTATGAACACAGAGGTACTGGTTCTCCTGTAGGTCAGAATTGTTATATTATAGATTCTTACAAAGAAATATACATTACTGTCCTGTTTATCATTATTCACTAAATTTCAACATAATTTGCAAATTATTTTTTTTTGTGCACATCTGTGAACATTTCTACCTCACTGAAGGTTGACTATTTAACACTTATTTATTTATTGTGATTTGCATATGGACAATCCATTACTTTGCACAACTTTCTGTAGTGTACTGGTCGGCGCTACTGTTTTTTTGTTCCTTGTCTTGTCCTGTCTTTTCTCTTTTGCACTAAACGTTGCACAAGTGCACTTTGATAGCTTAGTTTATTGATAATTCTGTGCTTTAATGTTTATTATGATGTTTGATGTAGCACCTTCGTCCTGGGGAAACGTCGTTTCGTTTCACTGTGTACTGCACTGTATATGGTTGAAATGACAATAAAAAGCCTACTTACTACTTACTACTACGGCAAGTTTAGTCACAGCGTGATTTGAAATTTGTGCTATATGTTTTTAAACGGTGTGAAACACATCCTCGAAACCAGAAAATTAACTGGAGGTCTTGATGCAAAAGTTAACATCATAATCAAACACTTTGAAAAAACAAAGCGACATTGAGGTTCCTACTCATTGTAGGAAGGGGACATCACACCAAGATCTGGTTCCTATCAACTAGGCTGTTTACCCAAGCAACCATATTAGCAATGTTATATCTGAGACTCAAAATGATTAGGGACAAATATGTTTGTTAATGCCAAGTATAGAAACCAGAGGAACCTTTTTATGGTATCACAGAAAGCACTCTAGCAACTTGATCGTTTACCCTAGCAACAG